ATGTTGTATTCTACTGAGGTGTGAAGATCGGCTTCCTATAAACTCAATTGAGCTGTCAAGGAGGAAGCTACATGAGGAAAGACATGCACAGAAGAAACAAACATTCCAAAGCTCAAGTCAGTGAGAATACGAGTTCAATTAGTTGTTCGAGCATAGTTGTGTCCTTAAGTCATAGAAGTGAGTGTCTTTTTATAGGCAGAGTGAAGGAGAAATGTCTGTTATAGTCATTTCGATAGACAGTTAGAGAGTTACAGATGGTCGAATCATAGATAAAAATCCTTCTAGCTCAGGCAGCATACTTAAGAAAACTTGTCATGTCTTTTAGATTTCCTAGGTCGACCCGTGTTGATAGGTTGGACCTTATGTTTGAGTAGAATAATTCTAAACAATCAATTTGAACTACCATGATTCGTCCACATGTCATTCAGTTTTTGCCCTCTAAACATTACTAAACACAAATATTCTTCCCTCGAGAAAAAGAAAAAAAATATATTTTTACCTTTCTTTAGGCAAAAGGAATATTATATATTATATTCAAACACAAGTAGAGAAAATTCTTTTGCTGCTGGTAAATAAAAGTATTGGAAACTATGAAGGAAAATAAAAAGATTGAAAGATACCACTTGGCATAAATAAAAAGGAAGAGTAATTATTAATTAATTAAGTTAGCTTTTGGGTAGAATGTTTGTCAATTGTCTCCTAAATGCTTCTTCTTCACTTCATGACCTTCCACTACTTGTGATGTTTTCATGCATGCAAGTTTTTATATTCTTATAACTGTATTTAAAAAAACATAAGAATAATTTCCTTACTTATAAATTAGTCTAGATACTTAAAAGTTGTTATCTATTTAATTGTTGACTTTGGAGAATTAACAATTATGCTTATATTTAGTATTTTTTTATTAATATATGGGATAAATATATGTCTTAGTAGATTTGATTTTTCAATTTAGTCCCTTGTTTAAAAAGTTCAATTTAGTTTCTTATATTTTAATATTTTTCAATTTAGTCTCAAAATATTAAGAATTTGATGATAGTAAAACTTAAATGATATAATATTAAGTGAATTTAGGAAAGTCTACAGAAGGAAAAAAGTCATCTAAGAATGGAGCGTTTTAAATTTAGTGCTCCAAATTTCTATGAAATTAATAGTAATTTCGAGTTTCTTTTTTTCTTGATGACCTTTTTATCTCTTCTAGATTTCAACCAATTCACTAAGTATTATGTCATGTAAGTTTACCATAAGCTAATTTTAATACTTCTTCGGGGACTTAATTAAAAAATATTAAAATATAAGAAAATAAATTTAGTATCTAAAGCATATATTTAGCCGGGTCATTGCTTCGGGAGTTGCTTTCCATGTGACTTGAACCCAAGACCTTAAAGATATTTCTTGAGGTCCCAAGTCATCCAAACTATTCATTTGGACTATTTAACCTTAATATATGTTTACTGCATTATACAACTTAGTCAAAATTTATGAAATCATATTATCCTAAAACGTAATTCGTTATGCATTAACTCTAAATATGTATATAATTTTCTTCTATACAATTTTATGTTGATTTATAGATTTTTCTTCTCTATCGTTTTCTTTTTGAATTTATGGAAAAAGTATTTCCAACTAACAAAGTCTCAATAATTAAAGTATATATGTAATTGATTATTATTATTTGTATTTGGTGATATATAGCTTAGCTTAACGTGTAAAGGAGAGGGATATGATTAAGAAAATAGGATCTATGTTAGGAGAAATAATTCAATAGATGTAACTTTGATTTAAGTATACATGAATTCATATCTTTAATTATGCTACCATTATTGCTATCAAATATATCTCTTTAAGTATAGGTTAATTATATTTTATTATTATTTATTATTTATTATTATTATTATTATTATTATTATTATTATTATTATTATTATTATTTTGATAAAGTGAAGTATAGGTTTATGCCAAAAGCCAATATCTTTTCTTGAATTTTTAATATAAGGACATGGAAAATTGATCAGAATCCATGAAATCTTTAATAGCTTTTTAAGTTTTTTTAATGAAAAACCCCACCAATTTTGACCTTATTCAATCAAGCATATTATAAAATTAAAAAAGAAAAAAGAAAAGAAAAGAAAGGAGAGAGAGAGAGAAATTAGAGGAGAAGAATCTCTAAATGGAGAAACTGTATTTCTTATTTAATATATGAGCGTTTTATAAGTAATATATTTATTTATAATTAATATTCTCTTGAGCTGTGACTAAACCTAACAGGAATAAATAATAATCAGTATTCCCCCAAATGTCTTGCACCCAATGAAGTAGCTCTAATGTATTCGTTTGTTTAATTTAAGCTCATTCAATTGAATAAATAGCCATATAACATAATTATGTATAATATAATTATTCGAGTATCTTATACACTGCAACATACCTAACTTAGCGCATGGAGGCTTTCTTATGGAACCACTTAGTGTTTCCATCGCCCCACTCAAGTCAATTCTCCCTGGAACGTTGTTTCCATTAGATTTCCTCCATTTCAATTAGTCCCGCTAGATCATCCTGAAGAGAATGGATTAACGAGAAATCCAAAGGGAGATGCTGATTATAGGCTGCTGCAAGGGCTGAGAGCTGCCTTCTGAGCTTTTATTTGCCTAAACAAAGTACGGGTGTTGGAGCGACCCCAATTTTGAAGAACTAGAGAGGAGGCCTGAATACAGTCAGTGAAAGAGAACGAACCCCCTGTATCTGACCAACAACCAATATCAAGGATTTTTTTCTCACAAGAGGAGATTCAAAGTGCTGTCAAACAGATGTTTCCTACAAAATCTCCAGACCCTGACGGTTTCCCACCCCTATTTTATCAAACCTACTGGAACACCGTAGGTCCAAAGACCACTGAAGTCTGCCTCAACATTCTTAATAACAATCTGGAGATCAAAAATTGGAACAGCACCCACATTGTTCTTATTCCGAAGGTGAAACAACCAAGGTTAGTTTCCGATTTCCGGCCAATAAGCCTGTAATGTGTCCTATAAAATTATCTCTAAATCAATCGCCAACCGCCTAAAGCAGGTAATTGGTTTGGTTATTTCGGAAGCCCAGTCAGCTTTTGTGCCAAATAGGGCAATTACAGACAACGTTATCATTGGCCATGAATGCCTCCATACTGTCAAGAATGGTAGCTCAGGTTTGACTGGTATGGCTGCCCTCAAGCTTGACTTTAGTAAGGCTTTTGACCGAGTGGAATGGGCCTATTTGGGAAGAATTATGAGGAAAATGGGTTTTGATGGCAGATGGATTTATTCTATTATGAATTGTATCACTACAGTTTCTTTTTCTATTCTTATTAATGGCTCTCCGTGTGGATCTTTCAATTCCTACAGAGGAGTAAGACAAGGGGACCCACTCTCCCCATATCTTTTCCTTCTCTATGGTGAGGGTCTTTCTGCCTTAATTCATAATAGTAACAGATTGGGAAGATTAACAGGTGTTCAATTTGGTGCCCATAGTCCAAGCATTTCACACCTTCTGTTCGCAGATGATAGCCTCATATTTTTTAAATCAACAGAAGCAGAGTGCCTAGTCATCAAGCATATCTTGGAGTGCTATGGAAGAGTTTCAGGTCAGTGCATAAATTTTTCAAAATCTGCTCTTATGTTTTCCCCTGACGTTCTTCCAGAGAGACAGACTTATCTTCAACACATCCTCCAAGTAAGCTTAGTAGATGATTTTGGTCCATATCTTGGCCTCCCTTCTCATTTCTCTCGAAGGAAAGGTTTGGATTGGAATTTTCTAAAAGATAAGATCTAGAAAGTTATGCAAGGTTGGAAACGCAGCTTCTTCTCAGTGGGTGGAAAGGAGGTTCTAATAAAAAGTGTTGGTCAGGCAATTCCAGCTTATGCTATGAGCGTTTTTAGACTACCAAAAGGTTTCTGCGAAGAGGTTTCTCAAATGTTTGCTCGTTTTTGGTGGGGATCTTCGAACGATACAAAGAAGCTCCACTGGATGAGTTGGGAGAGAATGTGCCTTCCTAAAGAGTTAGGGGGCCTAAACTTCAGAGATTTGGAAGGCTTTAATCAGGCTTTGGTGGCCAAACAGGTTTGGCGTGTTCTACAGAATCCAAATATCCTAGTTTCCAGAGTCCTAAAAGCAAAATATTTCCATGACTCGTTAGTGCTCCAAGCGACTCACCTCCGAAATCAATCATATTTCTGGAAAGGTTTCATTTGGGGGCGGGACCTTCTAATCAAGGGGTTGCGTTCTAGAGTTGGCAATGGTTCGACCATTAATATCTTCTCAGATCCCTGGATTCCGCGACCCTATTCCTTTCGTCCTATCACAGCACCTTTTGGTCCTTATGATGTTAAAGTGGCAGACCTTATCAATCCTAATGGACAATGGGACGTTCATCTAATCTCTTACATTTTCTGTGAGGAAGACAGAGATCTCATTCTATCGATGCCCGTTAGTCCATACAATTCTGTTGACTCTTGGATTTGGCATTTTGACAAGAGAGGACACTACAATGTTAAAAGTGTTATAAACTCTATATACATCAGAAGTGCAATGGTGTATCTACAAGTGCAGGCTCTAGGGGATATAATTGGAAGACTTTTTGGGAGCTAAAGGTTCCTTCTAARATTAAGCTATTCCTATGGAARGCAGGTCATAATCACATCCCAACAACCCAAAATCTTAGAAATCGTGGAATTGWTGTGGTACCTGATTGTATATTTTGTGCTAAGATGGAARGTACTTCTCACKCTATCKTCCTCTGCAAAAGGGCTAAGAAAATCTGGAATCTGATGTTCCCATCTCTCTTCACTTCTCCAATAAATGGAAATCTCAGTTTTATGGACATTTGGCTGCTTCTTTATGATAAACTAAATCCACAGCAGAGAGATCTTGCTGCTTTTACCTRTTGGGCAATTTGGTGTGATCGGAATTCTWTGGCCCATGGTTCTTCTGTCTCCACCCCTGCTTTAAGGTGCAATTGGATTAGTTCCTATTTTCAGAATTACTCACAGGCTCAAGAAAACAAGAGAATCTCACCGCAGCAGAGCTCGGTCCCTCCCCCATCCTGTCGTTGGCTTCCTCCTCGCGACTCAGCTATGAAGGTGAACTCTGATGCAGCCTGCCGTTCTACATCAACAGGGCTAGGTCTTATTATCAGAGACCATTTTGGGGTTTTGTTGGTAGCGAAATCAATGTTTCTGCCAATGCCATTGAACCCTCTTTTTGCCGAAATCAGAGGAATTTTGGAAGCTCTAAAGCTCGCTGCCTCACGGAGTTACACTCGCCTGGTTGTAGAATCTGATTGCCAAGAAGCCATTCGCCTCGTTCAAGGAGATCTGTTTTCGATGGGAGAAGAATTAATTGGATTATGGAAATTCGATCGTTAGCCCTAGCGTTCAAATCAATTTCCTTCATGCACTCTCCCCGTTCGTGTAATTTTTGTGCGCGTTCCTTAGCCAAATGGGCAATTTCGGCCTCATCCACGTGTTTATGGCAGTTTCCCTTCCCCTCTTGGTTAATGGATCTTGTAAAAGGGGATTCCCTTTCAACCGTTGCCCTAGTGGCTTAATTAAATGTTTCTTTCTTCAAAAAAAAAAACATACTTAACTTAACGATAATTAGCATGATCAAGAGGTCATGAGTTCGAATCCCGCACCTCTGATAACATTACTCTTTCTTATTTCTTCTTTTTCAATTAAAAGAGACTACTACTACTAGTAATTGTTTCTTGTTATTTCTTATTTACTGAAAAATAAACAAAAATAATGTTTGGTAATATTTTTTTTTGTTTATTGTTCTCTTAAATTTTATATTAAAAATAAAAGTGTAACATGAAACTTTATTTTTCAAATTAAACCTTCAAATTTTTTGTGTTATTTATTTTTTAAATTTTATAATGCATTTTAAAAATAAAAAATGATATAATAATGTTTTTATTTATGAAAAAAAGTAAAACCAAGAACATAAATAAAAAACTTGATTTTGTTGTTATCAAAATTTCTTCAGAATTTTGAAAATGTTTCTTAAAAGTGAGAAATGACAAACGACAAAAACAGTTACAAAACGCTTATGTTTCTAAAAAATTGGAAACCAAAAGCTTGAAACAAGAAATTTTATAATGCATTTTGGTTTTATCCTCTTACTTTCACACTTTAAAATACTTTCACACTTTAAAATACATTTGTTTGGGACATATATAGCTGAATTAATATTTTTTATTGAATATACAGAATCAATATTTAAAAAATAATAAATACAGAACCTAAAAAATGATCCGTAAACTTAACGAAGATTTAATTTGGATGAAGTTTGAGGGTTTTTGAAATATAGAGAGAGTAAGTATATTGGGAGACTAAATAATTATATCATGTCTTACGTCGAAAATGTCTGTTGGTGCGTCTAACACTGGTATATACTCTCCGTTGCAATGTCTTGGTCGAGTTTGCAATCTTGCGTCTGCATGTCTTGTGACAATCACGCTTATGTTACCTCTGTATATGGAACTATCTATGGGCTCTATATTTACAACTATACATGGTAAAAACGTGGATAATAGTTTTAAAAGATTACCGATTTACACATAATATTTAAAAAACAATTTGACGATCATTTTGATTTTATACTTTAAAATCCTAAATTCGGAAAAAAAAAATTTAAAAAGTAGAAAACCTAAGGATGAAGTTTGAGGTTTTTGAAATATAGGGGGATTAAGTATATTGGGAGACTAAATAATCATACCACGTCTTCTGTCGAACACGTCTGCTGGTGTGTCAAACACGAGTATGTAATCCTTCTTACAGAGTCTTTGTCCAGTTTATAATCGCATGTTTGCATGTCTTTACTGATAATCACACTTTCATTTCCTCTGTGTATGGAACTATCTACGTGGTCTATATCCACAACTATACAAAAGTTTTAAGGCTCTAGGGCATATACAACATATGTCATTCAGACTTTGTATATGGAACTATCTCCATTTCTCTTTCTCCATACAAATATTTTCCTTCTTCCATTCCCCGAAAAATGCGTTTGCTGGTGCGTCTAGAACGAGTATCTATTTTACTTTAAAATGGAGATCAAATGGTGCAATTTGCGCAGCCAAAGCATCAGGCTATGGCAAAGCTCTTTTTCGAACGAACGTGACAACAAATAGTTTTGATGACATATTTTGTGGCAAAAAACCATCAAGGAGAAGAAGAAATTCTTCCATTCATCTATTGTTGAATTGAATTCTTCTTATAATCTGAATGCTTAGCAATGAATTTCGATCACAGAATTGGAGACTCTATCTCTACTGATTCTTCTTTGATCCTCCATGTCTTGAGGAACTTGAAATGGTTGAGTTAGATAAAGAATTAGTTAGATTTATTTTGTAATTTAATTAATTTACAATTATGTAGGTAAGGGAAGAATTAATATGATTTTTAATTAGTTTGATTAGTAGCAATTTTAGGGATTCACAACAAATTATGAACAAGAATCTGTGACTCCTAAGATATAGGCGGGGTAAATTCACGAATGACATAATATTGTCAATCCCTATAGGGACGTGGACAATGGATGTGGATAGAGGTAAACGTGGAAATTTGTAAATAGCATATGCTACTTTGTGAATCTTTTTTATTTTCAGACAAATTAAATGTTGCATATTATAATAATATCTTTTATGTATCCTATAAAACTCATACATGAAATAAACAAACTCACGTACTAAATATACCCACCATCATTTCTCCACAATGAACTCTTGGATCTCAATTCCTGTGTGCCTTGCTTCTCCTTGCAATCTCAAAAACACATCATCTCCAACTTTAAGTGAGGTAACAGGGATGGCTTTCTTCTCATTTCCTGCACAACAATGCAAGCAAAAGATTTAGCAAAAACAAACAAACAAATAAACTTTAACCGTCACGAGTTGTTGTAACGACCTCGACCGGGGCAGACTAAGGCGACCGTTTCCGCATTCTGCAGAAGGATGCCGTAAGGAGTTTGATCATCTGAATCTCTCTGCCAAAAGTAAATTATCTATACAAGTCATATCCAGCAGCAGAACTACTTAACCAGAGCGACCTCTACGAGTGTTATCGATAAAGGAATCCCGTTATCATTCTTATGTATGTAGTTGCTTTCACTATTATGTGAATTATATTTTCAAATGGAAACTTACTCAACTTTATAAGTTAGAGTGTGTTTAGCATGCCTTTTAAAGTGTTTTTATAAAAATTGATAATATTTGATTAAAATGTAAGGAGTCGTAAGGGTGCTTTTAATCGGTTAAAAACACTTATTGAAGTACTTTTAAAACTTTTTATATTCAAAAGTAGTTTAAGAAATTCTAAATATAGATAAAAGCCATTCAGCGTGCTTTTAAATTGAAGCATTTGCTTAGATTTCTCCCAAAAGTGTTCATAAAATAAGTGCTTCAGTTCTAAATACTTTTTCAAAAGGCATCCCAAATGGAACATACAAGATTTCAGCTGGGATCAAATCAGAGAAACTAAGGAAGTTATCTAACTAAAGAAAAAGGCACATTTTTTTCTCATTAGTAGAAACACCAACAGATTTAAACTAATCTCAAAGATTCGGAAAGAAACACGACGCATACCTTTGCCTGAACAAGGATCAGCTGCCTAGTCTCTATCTTCACACGTCCAACAATAGCAGTTCGTTGCCTGCCTTCTTGATCGACTACGATTACCTCTTTGCCTGCTCGTAACTCGGAAAGATAGCTAGTTTTCCCACCCGGGACAGCTACATAGGCATGGACAGGTCCCTGAACATTCACAAGATAATGAAAAAGCTACAAAAGAATAAATGAGTGCCATTCTTATAGCTTATTGTGACTACTCAAACAATTGAGCCAGACCGTTAAGCCAAACTCACAGCATTGACGCGAAAAGGCCGGCTAGCGATGTAATTTGACTCTAAGCATTCCGAGTGAACAAGGAATAGTCCTCTGGCATAGGAACCGACCTACGAAATAAATTCATCACCATTTAGGTACAACACAAGAAACTAGCAGAGCAATGTACAACACAAGAAACTAGCAGAGCAATGTACAACACAAGAAACTAGCAGAGCAATATATAAATGTTAACTATCACTGAACCCTAAAACTTGAGCTGATAAGTCAGGCTAAATTCAATAGTTTACTAGTACTCTTAACACTCCCCTCCATCATCACTTGTGAGTTTGAAAATTGGCACAACACCCAACAAATGACTATCAGTATTAATGGGATAGGAAATCATATTACAGAAATTTGAAAATAGACTCTCCAGCTTCGATACCATGTTAAACTACCATTGAACCCAAAAGCTTAAACCAATAGGTCATAGAGTAAATCTAATGTTATATTAATATTCTTAACAATAAATGAGAAGAGAATGAAGGATTACAAGAAGTCCTTCACCAGGTCGCATGAGGCTACAGAGATCAACGCAAACTCGATCCCCCATTCCGGCAACATGAATTTGAGTTACGGTGGCCTTAGTCAAGCTCAAAAGATTACTAGCTTCATTTCGTCTGTCAAAATAGTCCTGATGACATTAAAACATAATAAGGAGCAAGAATTTGCACTAAAATAAACCAGGCAAAATGACAAGCCACCTTTAGCTGAAAAACAGCTTCAGGATCTTCAACTTTCAAAATAACTCCGCCCAGACCATGTTCAAGTGCCTAGAAACCCAAACGAGATCAAATCATATTTTATGATGTTAAGAAGATTCCACATAGTTCTTCAGTTAAATTTATTTAGTTCATATTTCCGCTCTCATATAGTCACAAATGTGGACCTCAAGGAAGATTTGAGCTTCAATAGGAGTTTTTGAGACGGCAAACACTTTTTTCCGACTCCCCTGAAACGCTGCAACAATATTCTCCGCAGGTATAATCTGAACATAAAAATTAGGACTTGTGAGTTATGATCAATTAAAAGCACTTTCATATGATTTCGTTAGATAACTAAAAGTGATTTGAAAGTTCTAAAATCACATAAAATAACTTTCATAAGAAGCACTATTCTAGCTTCACTTAAAAACCACATTTCTCAAAGCAGCTCCATTAACAATGATAGCTTTGTTTGCAAGTTATAACAAGGCATACTGCTAGGAGCTGAGGAAACACTCACAATTAGAGCTAAGGAAAAACAAACCAACAAAAAACCTATGGCAAGATAGGACATGACACATGAGTTAATGTTTACACAAGCGAAACGGTCGTACAGGTTTCATGTTATAATTCAAAACCAATCCTGTCAATAAACAGCTCGTCCTGAATCTGTCAACAATACCCAATTAATTAACCACTAAATAATTTCGATTTACTAGCAGAGTGCTTATATAGACTTATCCAGACAGTTCACAATCACTTTTTCAGTCCCTTCTCTAAACTATGCATTCATATCCAGATAAGAGCACAGATTCAATGTTTGAGTATTTGAAGATCTCAAAACAGATTAAATTAAAATAGTTAGAACTATGAGCAGCCTTATCAGTAAGCAGCAACTGTGAACCTGCCAATCTTGTAAGTCAACAACAACATTGTCTGTGGATGCATTTTCTGGTTGAAGCTGCTCCAACTGCTGGGGGTTAGAAACCTCAAAAACTGTGGCAATTAAGCTACCTTCTTCGTCAAAAATTCCATCCTCTTTAATAAAAAGAGAACATATTTCTGCAATTGCTGCATAATCCACACCAAACTTCAAATTTGACTCAAGAAAAGTTCAGTATCATATCAATCTAAGACCAAATATATCAAATCAATAAACTTATCAGAAACTTGAATGTCCTTGTATATTGTAGGCTAGTTATATCACTTTGTTAGGATCCCGATTATCTCACATGCTCTCTCACGTTTATCTCTCTTGTCTGCAGCTCTCTCACTTGAATGATTAGTGAGGTTAAGATACCATATTGATTTTTATACTTTGAAACTTATTTTATTTTAGTTTGAGACTTATTTTATTTTAGTCTATATACTTTCAAATGTTCAAGTTAAATTTTTAAGTAAGAGATAACCGTAAACTATCGGTGGGACTAATTTTAAGGTTTATTAAAAAGTATAGGAATTACATGATTCAAGTAGAATAGGTCTCAAATGTGCGCAGACCAAAATGGTAAATGATAGATTAATATATTGGTTAAAAAACAGTATTGGTCTCTATTCTTTCATTGAAGCAGCGATTTAGTCTCTAACGATTTAGTCCCTATACTTTCAAATTGGTAACAAATTAGTTGAACATTAGGTGACGATTTGGTCCCTATAAATTAAAAATTGTAACAATTAGTCCTACTGTGGAAAAAAAACTCATCAAAATTAAGTGTTGAGTCTTATTACATAACAATTTAGTATTTTTCATTTATAAACACATTTGTTCCATCATCATAGTTTATCGATCTACATATAAAAAACTCTATCAAATCCAATACTTTTCACAATAGAGACTAAATTGTTACAAACATAAATTTTTTTAGTAGAATAAGCGGGAGTGGAGGATTTGAATTCATGGCGCCAGCAATCTCTGACGTTGGTTATAAACTTTAAAGTACATTAAAGTTTATGGATTAAACTGTTAGAAGGACTCATTAGTTCAAAAGTGTTTTTTAACCATTAACGTATTAATCATCATTTTCTATTTAATGCGTCGAAAGTCTTCACCCCTAAAAATTGTCCTATTCTTGACAAAAACCCATAAATTTGAGACAAGAATAAACACGAGTAAAAAAAATGCCTATTCGGATGAAGAGAGAGCGAAGGCGAGCTTACAGGACCATTGATGAGCGAGTTCCCGATTGTGAGGCGAGAAGAGGAACGTGGTCCATCCCCTCTCGACCGCAGCCGTCAAAACCTGCCGATTCTCACTCCAAACCCACACGCCCTTCGATGCCTCGCTCGGAGTCGGAGACATTGAAGCGCAAGAACACTGTACACCAGTCGCTGCTATAGATTTACATTTACCAGCATCGGGTTGGCCAAAATCCCAGGAAATTAGGGCGCCGAGTTTCGAATAATCTGAGAACCCCACAAAGAATTGAGTGCCGAAGGGGAAAATCAGATGTAAACCCAGTGGAAAAAGGAAGAGGAATGTGATTCAAATTGGGAAATTGTAAAGAAAGAGAGAACCTGGTGTTTTGATGCGGTGTTTGGAGAGAAGAAGTGGAGAAGCAGGCGAGGCACAGAGAAAGCCCATCTCTTGCTAGTCGCTATAATACTACCGAACGACATGTAGTCTGCCAGAAAAACTGGGCTAACATAAAAAATAAGAGGGCAAATCGCACAATACGCAATTTCACCGTTAAACCTTTCGCGGTAAAAATTAAACCCTTCAATGTGATTTCGTTCGACCTTTAATTGTAAAAATTAAATCTTAAACTTTCAAATTGGAAAAATTCTGCTCATTAACTTTTAATTATAAAAATGAAAAGACCCCTGCAAATATGGCCATTACATTTAATAAAATAAAGCAAAATAGTAACCACATTTAATTTTTCAAATATAGCATCATTTTAAACAAAAAATGGAGTTCCAATTTAAAAATTATAATTTTACCCTGCAATATATTTGATATACATCTATAATATATCCACAATATATCTGATTACTGATATACCAATGATATACAATTGATTTACTTCTTATATAACTATGATATCCACTCAACTTCTAGCATGGCTTACCACTGATATACATACGATAACCATTGATTTACCACGCCGATACAATATTTATATATTTGTGATATATACTTGATATGTCGCTAATTTACCATTGATATACAAATGATATACCACTGATATAACTATGATATCTATTTATATAACTTCTTATATATAATTGTATGATTTATCACTAATATAACACTGATATATATTTGATATATACTTAATATGCTTCTAATTTACCACTGATATACCTCTGATATAACCATGATATCTACTAATATACCTATGATACATGTGTGTTGATCTAATACTATTATATCCACTATTTTTTCATATGAAAACAATGGTGAAAAAAAAATTAAAATATAAAGTTATTGTATAAAAGGTTTATGTGGATCATGTACGTCAAAAAAAAAGTTTAAAATCTGATATACTTTATAAATTTAAACCGATGATAACACTATATTTAGTATCTAATTTAATTAATATAGAATAAAAGGTAGTGATATAGTAATCAACATTTTTAATAATATTAGTGTCGCAACGTCATCGCGACGCGGAGCGGCCGACGTCATCCCCTGAAGGGTCTCTTTCGAGATAAGGGTTTGGAGTCGCCACCAATCATCTACGAGGTGTGATTGGTCACCTATTTTAAAAACTTGGTCTGCGAAAACAGATTTTAGGTTCGGGAGTCGACTGAGCGTAGGGAAGGTGTTAGCATCCTAACACACTCATTCGAAAACGATACCACATTTTGTAAAAAATTGTCCTATTATTTTATTTGGTCAAAAAAAATATTATTTTATTTTATTTTAAATGTTTCATATTATATTAATTCACATTTTGTAATAAGATATGAATTAATATGTATGAGTGGCATGAATGTCATTAAGAAAATTAAGCAGCTCGAGAATACTGGGAAGGTTTCAATTCCTATCATTGGAGTTTTTGAAATAATTACTTAGCAAAAAAAAAACAATAAATAAAAAATAATTTTAATTTTAAGGTACATTGAGACTTGAACTTGTGACTTGAATGTTGACACTCAAACATCTCAACAATGTGCCAACACATTAGGATATAATTTAAGTTATTGTTTTTATATACGAACTTTATTTTTAAATTTTGTTTAAAAAAAAAAACTCTAAACGGAATCAAAATAAAACCTTTTATTTGTTTGTAGTTTGAAATTCGTTTGAATTTTTTTATTGATAAAGGGCAAAAAGAAAAAAAAAATCACTTATTTACTTAAAACCTCCTATTCATTTTTAAAATTTATTTAACAAATCTTAAAAAAAAAAACAAAGCCTTTTACTATTTTTACTTTAAAATAAAACTTTTTACTACTTTACTTTAAAATAAAACTTTTATTTATTTTTTAAAATAAAACTTTTTACTACTTTACTTTAAAATAAAACTTTTATTTATTTTTTCAAAAAAAAAAAGATGTGCAAAAAAAAAGTAAGATTAGGCTAAGTCTTGGTTTCTCTCTCTATTTTTTTTAATTTTTTTATAACTAGAATTACAATTTTTTTACACAAAATTTTAAAAAGTAATATTTTAAATCGACTTCTAAATAATATATACTACTCTTTACAATAGTTTTTTTTTCACTTCTCTAATGATATATATATATATATATATATATATACACTCTTGTAGTGTTTACTTTTATAATTTTCAATTATGTAACTTGAATATCACAGTTATACTTAAGTAATAATTTACACTGCATTTTAGTTCATTTTTAATATGAAGTTTTAACTTTACTTATCTCCCTACTCATTAAACTCTCATCTTAAAAAATCCAACACCTCAAATTTGTATAGAAATAAATGGTTAAAAAATCAAATTTGTATAGAAATAAATTGTTAAAAAAT